ATTTATTTTATTTATTTTTACATATTCAGAAAATTTTTGGCGGCAACCCTAAATCTGATTAGGTGTTAGCCTTTCTTTCTTTCGACACGCCTTTTGACCCCGTGGGGGTAACGAAGTGCTGCCGAAATTTTCTGATTTTCTCTTACTTAGTCTTTTCGGCACACTTCGACCCCATGGGGGTAACGAAATGCTGCCAAAATTTTTAAAAAAATAAGATAACCCATTTCTCCCCACATCCTGACACACTTATTTACTTATTTATTTATTTATTATTTATTATTTATTTTTTGAAATTTCTTTTTTATTTATTTATTTGCGGTATCTCTAGTGTGCACACCTCRGTCTCTCCTTTTCCCTTGGCACATTCTTGACCCCATGGGGGGTAGGGAAATGCTGCCAAAAATTTCAAAAAAATAAATCTTGTTTCTCTTCACATCTTTTTACTTATTTCTTTCATTATTTTTATTATTTATGATTTATTTATTTTCTTATTTATTTTATTTCCTCTCGAAATCTCGCTGTTTATTTATTTTTCTCCCGTCTCCCCCTTCCCCCTATGCTTGCTATTTTACTTTCTTGATTAGGTCACCGGTACCCTACCCTAGCCTTAAACCTCGGTTAGGGTTTTCTTAGGGGTTTTGTAGGGTCTAGGGTTCCTAAACCCCCCCCTACTACCCCGTCCTCTTCGGGCACCCTGGACCCGAACCACCCCTCCCCCTTTGACGGCGCCCGTGCTAGCCTTGCTAGCGCCGTTCGCCGCTTTCTACCGCGGACTTCCCCCTACGCCCTCCGCTCACGCGGACCTCTTCTTTCCCCCTCCAGTCCGGTCCGTCATCTCCCCATGGCCGACGGTGCGTCACACGCCGTCGACACGGCGATGACCACGACATCGGGCTCCACACTCGTGCCGGCGGACCAGGGCCATCAGCCCCAGGGGGATCTACACACCCTCCTCACCTCCCTCCTTGCGCCCATCCAGGCGCAACTTGCGACCCTCGCGCCCATCCAAGCGCAACTCGCGACCCTCGGGCCCTTACAGGCTCAAGTGGCGACCCTTGCCGCCGGCGTGCAGCAACTCCAGGACGCTGGTCGTCCTTCCTCTCCTCATCCTCTCTCTTCTCCTGGCTCTCAGTCCGGGTCCCCAGTTCTCCGACAGGGTGGCCATGGCGGAGCTTCCTCCTCTGCCGGCCCCGACTCGGCCATTTTGGTGACCGTCCACGCCCCTAGCTCGACGGCCGCCAGGAGTCAGGCCCTTCCTCAGTCTACGGGCGCACCGACCCAGATTCCGGTTACAACGGCAACGGGACCACAACCCGTTACCATGGTCTCAGCGTTTCCGGGTGCCCTGCTCCTCCCCCCCCTTCGCACGACCGCAGCGCCACCCTGCTCTCCCCCCTCTGGGATGCCCCGCGCCGCTTGTGCATCCACTTCCTCCACTCTTCCCCCTGCTACCCCTCGCACGACCTACGTTCGAGGTCTCGAGGACGCCTTCAGCCACCTCCACCCTCACAGGTGGCTGTGCCTTCGGGCGCACCCCCTACCTCCTTTACCCTTCCTCCCATGCAGGCTCGCTTTCCGCGCCCTGCACCCTATACAACTCCTTCCT